CCCCGCTTCCCCCATCCTCCTGCTTCCGGGGCTTAGGGCACCTCCCAGATCTGGAATTGCTCCAGGAAACCAAGTTTCCCTGTTTACAGTTGACTAGGGGGAGGAGGGGAGGAGAGAGGGGAGGGGTAGCCACGGGGCAGGCAGGCTGGTTGGCTCTCTCCAGCTCCGGCTGGACCTGGAGTGCTGGACCTGCGTCAGTCAGCCAGCTCGGCTCAGGCACGCCGCTCCAGCCCCACACCTCACCATGGCCATGGAGGTAGACAGCAGGCCTGGGGGGCTCCCCGGCACTGGTAGCGACCTGGGCGCAGCTCGCCAGCACATGCAGGCGGTCACCAGAAACTACATTACTCACCCCCGTGTCAGTGAGTATGACCCCAGTGGGTGAGCGTGGGGTGGGCTGTTGGTCCTCAGGCACTGCTTTTTAGCCTCAGGGAAAGAGGAGGACCAGAGGGTGGGGGGAGTGGCCTAGGGGGCTTTCGGTCCAGTGGAGTGATACCATCAGCTGCCTGTGCAAGGAGCCACCTCTGCAGGTGGAGAGATGCGGGTCTGAGCCCAGGTTACCCCAGAGGGGAGGGCAGGGAGGTCGTTGCAGGAAGCTCCCCGTCATCACTCTGGACCTGCATGGAGACCCCAAGTCCAGAGAGAGCACCCACCTGCCCCTGAGAGTGTGTGTGTGTGCGAACACGTGTATTTGGGGTATGTATCCAGGCCCAGCATGAGGAAACGTGTGATCGCATGTTCTTGGGGGGAATGTGTAGCAATGCAGAGCTGGTGTGCATCCTCCGGACGGGAATTACGTGACACTGTGTGTCACATCGATGGGTGCGTGCCGCGTGTGCGTTCTGGGGTGGATGTCAGTGTGTATAGCCAGGGAAGGCGTGTGCCTGCGTGTTCTCACCTTCACTCATGTGAGGATATGGGTGAATGTGTGTGACAGCTTGAGTGTGTGTGTGATCAGAGTGAAGAAATGTGGGCATCTATGTCATTTTGGACAAAGTGGGAAAGGGAGACACTGTGTGTGCAATTTGTACACTCAGGGTGAGGGTGTGTACGTGTGCGTGTATATGCTCCAGCGTGCATGCTCACGGGGTGAACACGGGGAGGTGTGCTCAGGTGCTGTCCATGTCTGTGTGTGTACAGCCAGGGGAGTGGGAGCGCCTGGCATCCAGGTGTACAGGTGTGTGTGCCAGAGTGCATCTTTGCAGGCTTCAGGGGGCGTGGCCCTGCAGTGGCTTGAGGGCCTGTCCTGCAGAAGTGGCCCAAGTTCAAGTGTCTGGGGCAGAGAACCCGGTGAGGCCCTGAGGACCAAAGGGAGCCCTTTGCCCCCACCATCTCTCCTTCTCCAAGGTCACTCTCCCTGCCCAGGCTTATTCTAGAATTCTCAGCAGCCCAGCCCACTGGAGGAAACCGGCCTGGCCAGCACCAGCTGAGCAGAGCCAGAGGCTGCTAAGAGGGTGTGTTTGGGGAGAAGCTGGTGTAGCACAGACACCCCTCCCTCCTCTCCAGTTACACATCTGATGGGGGGGAGGAGTGGCCTGAGAGGCAGCTTGGAGCCCAGTCTGTGTTTGGGAGTGGAGCCCCAAGGCCCCAGGAGGAGTCCAGGGGTGTGAGGAACCTCCTTAGGCCCCAGCAGGCACTGAGGGTGGAGTACTGTTCCGCCGAGGAGCTGCTGAGAGGAGTGGTGTAAGGTTGATCCAGATGTCCTGCCAGCTCTGCCCTGTGTGGGTGCAGAGAGGATGGAGGCCCAGATCCTCCCCAGGGCCGAGGAGGTCCCCAAGGCCCAGAAATATGCAGCGACTGGGCCCCATTTGGGTCCAGAGCCCAGGCCGGAGACCTGAGAGGAGTCTGCTGACCCTCGTCCAGTCCCATGTGATGGGAGGCTCCTCCCGTCATCCCTCCTCCCGGCCGGGGTCCCGGGGTCCAAGTGGGCTGTGGGTTCTGGAGTCCGGACCTACATGCTTTGCTTTCCTTCTCCCTGGAATGTACCCTCTCCCAGGAACCCTGCAGGCTGCACTCCCCCCCACCCAACCACCCCCCTCAGATCCCTCTCAGCCAGTTCCTTGTTTATAGTCAACAAGCCTGGGTCAAGTCTGACCCAGGTTGGAATCCAGGGGTGGCAACAACCTCCCCCGAAACCCCAGGTTTGCAAGTGTGCTGCTCCGTGGGGCCCCCACTCGGACAAGGGTGTTCACACACAACAGCTGACCCAGAGGCCAGGGGCAGTGCAGGGGGAGCCCCTTCGGGCTCCACAGCTGTGTCAACGATGTCATTGCAATGACAAAGGCCACCACCTTTGCTTTGCGGCACACCAGTGTCCTCACAGGGTACATCCCGGGGCCAGCCCCAGCCCCGCCTTAACAGCCCCCACCCCCAGGGCAGGCAGGGTTCCCCAAGTGCTCTGCACCTGCAGCTTTCACCAATTCCCTCCTTTCCTCCTCAGGGCCTGAGGGGTTTCTCCCTGGGGGGAGGAGCATGGATAGGCACAAAACCCAGAGCTGCTGCCCTCCTAAGCTGAGCTGGACTTCTACCTGGGGCCTATAAGCACTTCCAGGAGAACTTTGTGTGGAGACAGAAGGTGCATAGGAGAAGGGCAGCTGGCTCCCAGCCCCAGGGCTCACAGAGCCAATGGATGGAGTGAATCCAGGAGGCTTCCTGGAGGAGGAGGTGGCCTGAGGGACTTCAATGGCTGGGGAGGGAATGGGTCAGAAAGAAGGGGGGAGGTGGAGTTGGGATGGGGAGTGAACCCCAACATGTCCACTCCAGGAAAGAAGGGACCCCTTTGCCACCCCCAGAGCTAGAGTTGTTCCCCAGGGGAGGAGGTGGCATGGAGTTTTATCGGGTGGTGTGGGGCACAAGTTGCTAGGCTGATAGGGTAAGGGGTGGGGGCACAGCATGAGCAAAAATGATGATGGCCAGGCTGGTGGCCTAGCTGGTGGGATGGAACCAGGTCAGATTGCCCGGGGGCTTGAGTGCCACACCACTGGCTGCCTCGGTTTCCTCAACTGAAAGGGCAGAGAGGTTATTACACTGAGAGTTCCACCCAGCAGGTCTTGGCTGATTCTAAGAACCCTCAGCTTCTAGCCCCTGCCCCCCTTCCCTAATCCTCCGACAGGATCAGGGAAGAGGTGAGGGACCTGCTGCCCCGGCTTGCCCCCACCCTGGCCTCACGCCTGGGCGCCCCCGCAGCCCTCTCCCAGGACTCTGCAGGTGTGTGGCTGGGCCGCCCTAATTAGTGAGCTGCGAGAGCCCCCTGCTGAGTCTTTGACAGGGAAGGCGGTGGGGAGACAGGGTCAGGGAGGGGCTCCCCCAGCCTGCAGCCCAAAGTGCAACCCGAAGTGTCAGCTCGGACAATGGAGAGGGGGTGGGCCAGCAGCTGGAGGGAGAGGCTGCACAGGCTCAGGAAGGCCTGTGGAGGAAGTGCCCCTCCCCGCCCCTCTGGTTCAGCACCCTGCCTCAGTACTCTCCCTGCTCCCAGCCCAAGCCCAAGAAGGACTTACCTCGTGGTCCCCTCCTCCTGTTCTTACGTTTCCTAGTTGTCTAAGCCCAGGAAAGCCTTGCAGTTATCTGGGCAAAAACAGCCTCACCCAATGGGTTTTCCTAACTCGGTTCTCAGGGAAAGTAACTCATATCCAACAAAAGTAAAGGGTCTGACCACCAGGGGGCGTGAGCGGGGCCCTTTAGTTCCCTCGGTGTGGGGTGGCTTGGTGCCAGGCTGGCCTACAAGCATAAGGCAATGTGGTCTGAGAAGAAGGACAAAGAGGGGATCCCAGCCGCTCCTCTGCCACCAGCGTGCTGTGTGACCCGGGCTGGCTCCTCATCCTTCTGGGCCCTGTGTTCCTCGCCTGCTAAAAGGGTGTTTGGACCCCTGGCCCCTGGGCCGTCCTTCCAGCCTGCGCGTGACCCAGCGACCTCACAGACCCTGCCCATCCTGCCTGCCAACTTCCTTTCAGCCCACTTGTCTCGGTTGGGGCTTTATAAGGACCCCAGTGAAGGTCTCCTCGTACCCGATGGGTGTGGGGGGAGTGAGGACCCTCAGGCCCCTCAGCCAGCCCCTCCAG